TCACCATGGGAAGGAACTTAGACTCCAGTATTTATGTATGGTACATTTTGCCTTTGTTCTACAGATTCCATTGTTTTCCATGGTTAATTAGGTCAAGTACCTTTTGCCCCCCCACACCTCACCCCACCAACAGTGAGTTTTGTATACTTCTAAATCAGTTAGATTCCTTGTCACATTCTCTATTCCATCCTGTGAAACTCCCATATCCTAAATAACTAAATTTGATTATATATTATTTACTTGTTGGGTTGTAAAAATCCATGGGTTTAAACTAATGCATAGTGGCAGGTATCCAACATTAAATTATCATGTGGAATATTTCAATGCCCACCCCATAACTTGTTTACCATCTCTGTTTTACCTGTTCCAGAATGTCATACAAATGGGGTCATACAGTGTGCAGCCTCTTCAGACTGGATTCTTTCACTTAGCAATAGACATGTAAGATTCACCCATGTTTTGTGCATGGGTTGATGGTTTATTCCTTCCTATTTCTGAATAGTATTTCATTACATGTGAATGGGAGGAAGAATAATTTTCCCTCTACCCTCCTAGGTTCTTGGATGAGGACCCCCCCATAATAAGAGACATACATAATCATCCAGACAAGTGCATATAGAGAAATTTCCAAAATTTTGGCCGTGAGTCGGTAGAACGGAGTCATACAAAATCATCTGTTTCTGTGAAGTAGCAGACTCTGAACTGTGTTTCTGGCGGAGGGAAGACAAAGATTGCTTGCCTAGCGAGAGCTAAAGCTTTTCACTAATATATGGGGAGAAGACTTTTAAGATTTTTGATTTGCCCTGATATGTAATCTTATGGAGGCTGTGGACTGAATTCTGGACAGTGGAATTTCTGGAAATACTATGTATCCATCTTGTTTTTCTTTTTTTAAATCAATCTGAGTGGATAAAATATCTAGTTTGTCTACAATTAGCTTTTTCCTTTCTGGTCTCAGGTAGTGATTTTAGTGGAGTAAGTTACTGTTCAACGGTTGGGCATGATAGGCAAGAAAGCATTGCGGATTTTTTTTTGGGGGGGAGGGGGTGTTAATTGCACTTATGAGGTGAAGAAATAAATGTCTAATTTTTTTCAAGAAACATTATCAACCTTGAGACTAGTTGAATATCTTGAATACTGTAAATCGTGTTCAAATATCCTTAATAATAATATATTTTTGTTTTTGTTTTTGTTTTTTTGGCTGCACCAAGTGGCATGCAGTTTCCCCGACCAGGGGTCGAACGCGTGCCCCCCACAGTGGAAGCCCAGAGTCTTAACCACTGGACTGTCAGGGAAGTCCATGATATATTTTTGAAATGTCTCATGTTTTATGACAGGAGGCAAGAAGCACAATTAAAGGCAAGACACCCTCAACTTAGAGTTATTTCCTTGGATGTTCACATTTAAAGACACAGCTCTTGCTGGGAGAAGGGCCTGGGGAAGGATGGAAGCATTTAAAATAAGAATTTCTGGGGCATATTTCCTGTTATCAGAGATGTAGGGCAATTACTATTTAAGTTTATCTTCATTCTGGAGTGTCGGACAGTTCTCTTCCCAACGCCCAGACATGAGAAGAAAGTGGAGACTTTCATATCGATAAGAAGGGTGGGTGGGCTTTGAATTCCTCCTACAGCTGCATTTCTGTTTCGTGCAGATGAGATTAGAGATTAGTAAAGCAAGGATGGTTGTTTTTAATTCTTAAAGGAATTGCATATCTTGCTCCGTGATCATTTCAAGAGGCTGAACTGTCCATCCGACTTCACTATCTTGGATTTGCCTCTTTATAACAAGGAGAAGATTTCCAACTAAGATGTAAATCAAAGAATTCTCGTGTGCGGATTAGAGCTGTGTGCCTTTGGGATGTTTTCACGAATCCTTCCACAAAGGCTTGGCGTGCTCTGTCTCGCTCAGAGCGCATGCTTCCATTTTAGCCCAGGTGGTCTTAGCAGAGGAGGCCTCACAAATCACTCCTCTCAGGCCTGAAGAGCAGCCTCCAATGGGGCCAAGTTCTGAAAATTAGCAGGAGGTTCTGGCCAAGGACCTGGCCATTTGCAGTCTCGGAGAGGGTTTTCTCCAGGGGCATCTGAAGAATGGCATGAGCAGAGTGTATATATATGGGGTGATGGTTGATTGTGTACATGGATTTTATTTTTTCCTCTAAATCTGATTTCCGTTCTTTTGTTTTGTTAAGGAAGTGATCTTAGGCTCGCTATGATACTTCTTCGTCTTTTTAAAAAATTTGATCATCTGAGAGGTTTCAATAGGATATTTGTTTTAGGGTGAGAACATTTATTTATTTATTACATCTTTATTGGAGTATAATTGCTTTACAATGTGTGTTAGTTTCTGCTGTACAACAAAGTGAATCAGCTGTACATATACAGGTATCCCCATATCCCCTCCCTCTTGAGCCTCCCTCCCACCCTCCCTATCCCACCCCTCTAGGTCGTCATAAAGCATCGAGCTGATCTCCCTGTGCTATGCAGCAGCTTCCTAGTAGCTATCTGTTTTACATTTGGTAGTGTATATATGTCAATGCTACTGTCTTACTTCGTCCCAGCTTCTCCTTGCAGCCTTGTGTCCTCAAGTCCATTCTCTACATCTGCGTCTTTATTCCTGCCCTGCCACTAGGTTGATCAGCATCAGTTTTTTAGATTCCATATATATGTGTTAGCATACGGTATTTGTTTTTCTCTTTCTGACTTACTTCACTCTATATGACAGACTCTAGGTCCATCCACCTTACTACAAATAACTCAATTTCGTTCCTTTTTATGGCTGAGTAATAGTCCATTGTATATATATGCCACATCTTCTTTATCCATTCATCTGTCGATGGACAATTAGGGGATGAGAACCTTTTAAAAATATCCTTGCAAATATCTTATCAGGTGTTTGGCCAGGACAACCAGTAAATTCTCCTGTATTGAACCCTTTTTTCCCCTCCCAGGCGGTTTCCAAAGGTATACTTATTCCTAAACATGCCTCAAAACCAATAAGCCTTATTATAGCTTAACAATGGACAAAAAGATGTCACTAAAGAGGTTGAAAAAAGAGCAGCCGTGATACAGAGTCACTCCCAAAGACAGCCAAAAGAAATAAAGACTACATGAGTCCCTGAGAACTGGCAGCCCCTTAAGTAGCACATCAGCCTCAAGTGGGGTGCAACCCCCATTTCTGGACAACCAACTACAAATTCTAAGGACCCAAATGTGACAGTTGGCTGCCAGTACACTCAGGCTATACAACCAGTGTTCCTTGCAGGAGGAAAGACACAGAGGGAACACTCTCAATGGATCCAGGCCAATCTCCCAGGATACCAAATGGGGCAAACGGGAAAGCAATGCTGTACCTGGAGGGAAAGGACACTGAGAGGACCCAGAACTGAGGGCCATGCAAAATCACAACGCCCAGAGAAGAGGTCCCCCCAAGTGTTTCCTCATGCCAGTCTAGATGAGCAAAGGAGAAGACAAGGAGAGATTGTCACTGCCCTCATTTGACCCAGTCAGAGCAGATATCTGGGAGGCTGACTTAGTCAGAATTATTACCTTTTCTTTGTTCTTTCAGACGTCCTGAGAATCCATCACAGCCTCTGGAGTGAGTGGTGTGCCCCAGCCTTCCCTTTGTGTTCACCAAAACTGTGAAAAAAGAAAACAATTCCCTCGACTTTCTCAGGATTAGTGGCTGGGGCTTGTAAATTAAACTTACAGAAGACAGGTTAACAGGAGAAAATGTTTGTTTCCATGCACACAGGAGCCAACTAAAACAGTCACTCAGTGCTAAATAATGAGAGTCAAAGGCTTATAACCTAACTTAGCAGGGAAAGGGTGAGGGGAGAATTGGCTTCTATGGGAAGAACAGAGAGGTTTCTTCAGGAAAGACAAACAGGTTCTTCGGAAAACAATGGGATATGAGAAAGTTTGTGATAATGTTTGCGTCTTCTTCAGGGTCATAAAACACCTCACAGAAGGGACTTATGGTGGGTTTACTCTTGGTCTCTCTCCTGGGAATAGAAGCCACCCTGAAGAGGGAATTTACAGCAGTGGTCATTTCTCAGAAGTTTCTGCTTTTATTCAGATGAGGGAAGCTCCAAGAAAGCTCTTTTTTTCCTGCATCTATTGAATCTCAAGTATCTTCAGCTTAAATTGTCTTTATACCAACCATGGGGTTCTGTCTGGCTCTCCATACCTCCAACTTTGTTCTTCAAGATTCTTTGATCTATTCTGAGCCCTTTTTCCACATGAATTTTAGACTGCTTGTCAATTTCTGCAAAACACCACCTGGAATTTTGGTAGGGATTGACTTGAATCTTTATTTGTGGAGTATTGCCGTCTTAATAGAATTAAGCCTTCTGATCCATGAATATGGGATTATTTTCCATGAATTTAGCTCTCTCTTAGTTTCTTTCAACAAGCAATTGTTTTCAGTGTACAAGTCTTACCCACATTTCCCTCACCTCTACTGGATGCTGATTCAGAACATATACAACCTCCAGGAGAAACTTGCCCCAACCCTGCCATTCACTGCTGCCTAGCTGGCCTGGAACTGAGTCACCAATAGCTTTTGTTCTTTACTTGATTCTTTTTTTAATTAATTAATTAATTTATTTATGGCTGTGTTGGGTCTTCATTTCTGTGCGAGGGCTTTCTCTACTTGTGGCAAGCGGGGGCCACTCTTCATCGTGGTACATGGGCCTCTCACTATCGCGGCCTCCCTTGTTGTGGAGCACAGGCTCCAGACATGCAGGCTCAGTAATTGTGGCTCACGGGTCCAGTTGCTCCGCGGCATGCGGGATCTTCCCAGACCAGGGCTCGAACCCATGTCCCCTGCATTGGCAGGCAGATTCTCAACCACTGCGCCACCAGGGAAGCCCTATTTGATTCTTAATTCCTTTAGAATTCATTATTTTACCCTCATAAGTGGTTACTGTCCTTGTAATAAATCTTTAAAACATGAAATGATGTTACTTTAATTATTCCAACGATGAGTGATAAATGGATCACACTTAACATGATTTTAATCTTTTTAGAATTATACACATATTATAAAGTGATATACACATATTATAAAGAATTGAAATACCACCTAAAGGAGAAGAGAAGAGGTTTGCAAATCCCACCCCCAGAGGTGACCATCATGAATGGTTTGGTGCACCTCTCTCAGGCTCTGTCTCTCTCCTGTCTCTCTCTATCTCTGTCTCTCACACAAGCAGATTTATTGACATCTCTGTTTATTTCACCTCTTTGTGGTCTTACAGATGGGATCCAGGCTGCAGATGGTTGGTCCTCATGCTTCCCACCTAAGAGAATCCTGAGGTCTCCCCTTTCATGAGGTACACACCCTGTCCCCACTTTCCTAGCTGCAAAGCATTCATTCGTCCATGTGGACCAGAAATGATGGATCCCATCCCCTCTCCATGAACATTCATGTTGTTGCCAGTTCCCTACTATTTCAACCAGTACTGGGATGGATACCCTTGAAATGACATCTCTGAAAAATTGGGCAAGAATTTTAGTGGGATCAAGTCTAAGAATCATCACTGCTAGTAAAGGGACGCACCTGTGGGACTTTGATGGGTCCTGCACACTGTTCTCCCAGAGATGAGTGTCTGGTCACTCTTCCCTCTAGGGGATCTGCTGGGGCCTCTTCTTCCTCACTTTGTCCCCTGGGCTGGTGGTCACCAGACTAGAAACCTGCCAGTGTGATGGTGACCAAAGCTGTCTCCACAGTGTTTATGTTTGCATGTGTCCTCATCTGAGAGGCTGAGCATCTCTCACATACACTGGCCATATGCACGGCCTCTCAGTGGAATTGCATGTGTTTGCTCTCTTTTTAGAACATTGATCTTCAAGAGGTTTTTGGACCACAGGTATTCTCCGGCCTTGGTCATGAGGAATGCTTTTCCAGTTTGTGTGTGTTGGCTCCTGCAAATCAGTTCATTCTGGGAACCTTCTGTCGTGAGTACTGTGGCACTAGTTAGCTTTGTGATGACAAAGCCAGCTCCTCTCCCTGCCTGTTTATGAGGAAAGGCCTGAGTCTGAGCCGCTATAGCTTCTCTAGATATCTTGGCACATGGACCGAGCCCCACCCTCCCATCCTGCCAGACCCCTTGTACAAACACCTCTACTTGAAGAGTTCTTTCGCCTCATCCAGAAAATAAACAGCACACGCCCCTCCCCCCCAATACCCAACAAACAAGCAGACAGACATCCAGCTGGCCTCCTTCTACCTCAACCTCTCCAGAGAGCCACTCTCTTAGAAATACCTTAAGCTCAACGACATACCGCTGTCTCCCTTTCTCTGGCACCATGCCAACCCCGGGTGAGCCCCGTCTCATGTGGGCACGACGGCACCACTCAGGTTAGCCGGAGACAGTACCCCAAAGTGGCCTGATGGTACCACCGTACATTGAAAATGACCTACACACCAAATCGGCCTTAAACATGGTGGTTCAGAGACCAGAGATGTGCATGGTCTCCGATAAAATCACTGCTCAGGAGACCCCAGCATCTATCAGCAATCTTCCACATTTTACTGCACTTTACTCTTCCTCTTTTCAGCTGATATCTTGCTAGATCGTTCATGGAGAAGTTAGATCCCATTTGGCAAGAGCAGAATCATCTTCCCAACACATGAGAAGAGAACAGGCACAGGCCCGCACCCATCCCATCTTATCCCTCCTTGCCTGCCCAGCCCGTCATGTCAGAAACATGTGTCCCTCCTCTTGTCAGAAGCCTAACCCCAGGGAAAGGACTTAGATGTAAAGGAAACCAGAATATTGTCTTGAGCTACGGACACTTCAAAAAACAAAGCAGGGCTTCCCTGGTGGCGCAGTGGTTGAGAGTCCGCCTGCCGATGCAGGGGACACGGGTTCGTGCCCCGGTCCGGGAAGATCCCACATGCCGCGGAGCGGCTGGGCCCGTGAGCCGTGGCCGCTGAGCCTGCGCGTCCGGAGCCTGTGCTCCGCAACGGGACAGGCCACAACAGTGAGAGGCCCGTGTACCGCAGAAAAAAAACAACAAACAACAAACAAACAAACAAACAAAAAACAAAGCAAAAACAACTCCCCCCCCCCCCCCCAATACAGCAGGTGCAGAAGGGCGTTCTGAGCCTTCTCCTCTTCCTTCCTGGAAGCAGCAGATAACATGTCCCCCTGCCCCACCCCCAGCAAGACGCCTTCCCTCTGCTGGAAGTAGAGTGACATTGCGATCGTCAAGGGCAGACAGTGGAGAGTGAAAGAATTCTGTACAAACAGACCTTGTTCAACCTAATTCTCAACCTCCTTAGCCTCCCCACATAGTGTAGTTCCTTTTCCACAATCGCCTCTGTGTTCAACCCAACAGAAAAGAATTTCTGCCACTTCTCTGGGTCTTTCTTCATTTCCTTAGGAGGGGGCCCTGGGTCAGGTAAAACTTGTGGGAAATAAATGTGTATGGTTCCCTCCTGTGAGTCTGTTTCACGCCCATTTAATTCTCAGGACCAGCCGTCAGCTCTAAGAGGGTGGAGGTCAGGTTCGGTCTCGGCCACATCTTCCCCGCCGGCACCTTTGAATTCTACCTCCTTCCTTGGCTTGACTCCTCAGCATGCTGACATGCTCTCAGCGACCATCTTCAGAAGCTCTGTGAACATGGGCTGCGTCTTTCAAAATGAAACGCATTCTTCCTCTATGATCCAGCCCTCAAACTCCTTGGTACTGATGGACCTAAATGAGTCGAATGCTTCCATCTACACAGAAACTTGCACCTGGACGTTTACAGTAGCTTTATTCATAACTGCCAGAACCTGGAAGCAACCAAGATGTCCTTCGGGAGGTGAATGGACAGATAGACG